ATGAAACGGTTAGGGCAGGGGAAATGCACAGTAGGTGAAAATGAGACACGTCCTTAACTCAAGGTGTCAGCAACTGGCAAACTCAAGAACTGAAATAGTGCTTTTTCAGCTTAAATGGTTTGTTGTCCTGATGGTGCACTTCAAATTAAGACTATTCCATTGGGATTTTTAACCTTGGTAAGACTTTATCTTTAAGATTAGAGGTATGTCATATACAGCCCATGCTTTCTACCTACAGCTACTGAAAAAATGGCTCCTAAACAGTGCAGGAAAGAGAAGAAAGGTATGTCTGTTGGTGTTGGAAAGGAGACAGCTTTGACCTGGAATACCTCACTAGGGATTTGGTGTTTCGTTTTCCTTTCTTTCCTTACACTATTTCTCCTTCTCTGATTGTGGTACAAAACTTTTCTCTCCTCCTTGAAGTCTCACGTCATAAAAAATTAACTCCTACTCAGTCCCTAAATGAAGATCACTGCAACTCCGGCAAATCTCCTTAAAGCTAAGAGTCTTGAGGGCAGCAGAGGCTCCCCTTCACATAGGCCTGGGCTTCCCAAGAAAGCCCAGGGTCGTTTTGCCTGAGCAAAGAGACTGGCATTCGATCCCCTGACTTCCAAACTTTACGTCTATACCCTGAACGAGTTCGCACAGTGACCCAAGGTAATGGAACAGTTGTGGTTAACAACTCAGCTGCTGTTCGTGTCTTTACAAAAATGATAAGTAACGTACATTCTTCTAAGGTTTACCTGAGTCATGCTGGACATGGTTGTGTATACCCTGAAATTCCATGTATAAATACAAGCACTAGTACACCGCATGGTGGACCAGAGGCCACCTCCTGAGATGGTGATTAACTTGGGTTGTGTCGGGTTTAAAAATTTGTGTGTGTCTTCTGAAAATGAACATAAACATCAAAAGACTTCAGCCTTTCTTGAAAAAGCAGGAAGATAAAATGGCTATTGAGCAGTTGATGTCCTAACGAGTTTGCACTCTAGATGGTTATCCCTCACCAATTCTCCCCACTGCCAGGAGTGAGCCGTTCCCGGGGGGAAAAAGTTGGGGATTCTTCTCTTTCTCATTTTGTTCAATCTCATCTACCAAACGAGGAACTCGATTTTTAAAAAGCATGTGTTTTGAGGTCTCCTATATTAAATGGGAGGGTTCGGAATCTATTCCTACTGGCTCTTCAGAGGTTAACTCCTTTGAAAAATCTGTAGCTATGCACAACGTGAAGAAGGCCCTTGACGGACTAAAGCAAATTTCTACTTCAAGAAATCTATTCCTCACTCACCATTTACGTGTATTCTCTTTTCTTTATTCTCAAGTGAGTCCAGCCTCCCTAGGGGAACCTAAGCCAACCGCACGATTTCATTTTAGAGAAATGACCGCTGTGCGGCAGCCACATTCCAGGAGAAGACTCCGCTCTCGGTGTATTTGATTCTGCTAGGCTAACTCGCTAACACGCTCCCGAAGAACTGTGTTAACTGATCATTAGAACTCAGTTCTCCAGGGGGTAGGGAGAGAAGACTGGGCACAGATGGGGAAAAGGAGATGCAAAAACAAACGCCTTTCTTGGCTAGGACCTGTCTTCTTTGAATCTGAGGACAAAGGAAATGAATGTCTTTGGTCTCTCTAATTCAGATCACTCAAGCTGAGTTAACCACTTCAGAGATTCTGGGATGGCTAACAGCCCCGGGGTGACCCAGCCCCTCCACTGCCACCCTATGGAACTAGGGCCTCAATTCACCAGAAGAGCTGAGCTATGGCTATCGGCACGTCAGAAGTCTTCTCCTTCTGGAGAAAATCAGTATTCAAGACAAGAGCCATGAAAGCTCAAGACCTAGGAAGGGGACGGGAAGGTAAAAAGCCCGATAAAATAAATACAAGGAAATAAACCAAAAAGATCATCATTCCATAACAGGCAGTTTTGTTAAGTGCACCGTCAGGTCCACAAAAACATTTCAGCTCAGTCCTGTGCAAGGGGAAAGAGCTTTGGCAAACTCTGCATGCCTATGCTACACAGATAATTCCCGTCCTCCCCTCTAACTCACTTGGTTTTGATGAGCTCCAGGTGCGTAAGTGACCTCCATTTTCCCCAGACCACCCAACTCACGACAGCAGCTCCTTCCGTCCCAGGCAGACAGGTTCCCTGCATGCAGCACTGTTCCCCGTAACAACACATGCACAAGTTTCCACCCAGTGCCACGTATGGCTGTGACAGGTGTACCCGGTAGCCAAAGTGAGGCTTTTCAGTTCTGGTCCTGTTTTCTCATCCTCTGACCCATCCGATCCCACAGTACCAAGCAGATTATTGCTGTTGACAGAGGGTAGCGCTTCAGGTTCGGGGTGTCCTAGACCTCAAAGTCTAAATAAAAGATCAAGGCAATCCCCGGAGATGTGGGCGAGGTTAGCGTTTTCTTTCCCAACGGGAGACTAAGGAGCAGGTAGGAGAGGAAAAGCCAGGATGAGTCAAGGTTCCAGGAGACATCACAGGGAGGATTGAATGCCCTGCAGTAGGACACCGTACCGTCCTTGGCCCCTGTCTTCCTTGGTGTGTGTCACGTCTGTCTTACAGATTCACAGAAGCCGCGCAGGAAAATAAACTTCCACGTTCTTTCTTTCAAAGGAGTCAGCCAGCCTGGGTGTAACTCTAGTGTCTAGGTTTACTGCCTCACTGCTCGTTCTAGGCTAGGATGGGAGGTGGGGCGGAGTCACGGGGAAGATTTCCAGAAGCAGCAGCGCAGGAATGAAAGACGGTGAGCAGCTGGCAGCCACGTGCTAAGCGCAGAATGAGGATCCCCACCTTGGGTCCTTCAAAAAGCTATGAGTGCCTCCCCGTCGGTGGGCGGCTGCTGGCCTCCAGAGGCCCAGGTGATGTGGCTCTCTTTCTGGTAAGCACAAGGTCCCCGCCATTCTCTGGACTGGGTGCCAGGGGCGACAGAAGTTAGATGTTCAGCCTGCGAGGTGACTGCCAGGATGGGACTCTCATAGGAGCATCCTAGGAACTAGCTGAAGGGGTGGGCCGGGAGGGAAGGCCCGGGAGAGCTTACTCTGAACCGACTATTCCCACATCCACAACGATGCCTGCAAAGATCAGACTGTCAGAGTGGCAACATGCTTCTGCAGGCAGAGGGGGAGGATGGAACTTCGCTAGGACCGTGAGGCTGGACCCGAGGAAGCCTTGCTTGTCCAGAGTGACCCCTGATAGGAAACAAATTCCCCAAGAGTTTTATATTGGCTTCTGGTAGAGAAGAGGAAAAGACAAGTTCGAGGTTCGTGTCAAGTTCAAAGATGGGTCTCGGGCCCCAGTTTCCATCCCACGTTTGGCTGCCAAAGGGACCGAGTCCAGCGGATGGCCAGAGAGCACCCTCCCGGGTCTCTCCTGCCTGGGGCGCAGGATGGCGCGGTGTCCCCGCAGTGCGAAGTGAGAGAGCGAGGGTGGAAAAAGGAAAAGCGAAATATCTGTGCCCCAGCCTCCCTCCCTTGTGTTACATAACTTCTCAGCTGTGCTAATGGAGGCGCCTTCTGCAGTTCGCTGTGGGTACAGGATAAAGGCACTAAGCAACTATTAAATCAATTGGTTGCGTTTCTTCAGGGAGCCTCAGGGGGAGGGCCGAAGTCTCTGCAGACTTCAAATCATGACTGCAAGAAAGAAATCAGCTCTGCTCTGGGCGCATACGATGGAGAAACATTTTCATTTACATCTTAAGAATGCACCAAAAAGCATGCAGTATTGCACCTTTGTTTGTTTGTTTGTTTGTTTTGCTTGTGTTTCTCTTCAGCTAGAAAGAATACGTGTTCTTAGGTGTTGCTCTATATACCTTGATAACTTAAGTTTTCCACAGAGCTTCGCTTTAAGGGATGGGCATGTTGGTCCTCTCTCTGCCTACATCTGCACAGAAACCTGACATTTCCCTGAGCAAAGGCAGGAAGATTGACTGAGTGCCCCCCCTCACCCTACCCCCCCTCATTGTTTCTTTTGGGCCCTTCATCCCACAAACTTATAATTTTTATTATTTTTTAACGTTTTTACATTAAATTAATCATGCACTAATTAATTCAAGGTACACCTTAATCAAGTCGGCCATAATGCTGAATAAGAGAACATGCTTCGAGCTCCAAAAAGTTACTGTTCCCAGCTGACTAACATAGGTACTTAAATACAGTACTTTATTTACTAATAAAAATAGTTCGTAAATGAAGGAGTGCACTTTTGGTGAACGCAAATGAAGAAGGATCTATTTTTAGAAGAATCGATTCCAAAGTAAGCTTACCCTCTATTGTCTGCGTTAACGTTCTCGGCATGCGATTGTAAAAGAAATGATGATCAGACTCAAACATGCTTACACTTAGTTTCATTTGTGCTCTGTTGCAATAAGGAGGCGAAGGTTTTACATCCAGTTCTGGAGGCCGGGGTTCAGGGTGCAGGACTGGTGAGAAAAGACCCATTGGGCGCATCTGCAGTTGAGAATCGTAGCAGCACTGCAGATGGATCAATGAATTGCATTCAGTGATCATTTTTTCTTAGAGAAGAGTTTGAATCAGAAGGAAAGGGGGCAGAGGGAAGAATCCCTACAGACCAGGCCCAGTATCAGATTTCTAAGGTGCTTGGTGAACCAGTCTTAAGTAATTTTTTTTTTTCACCTTGGAATATGCAGTTCGGTTGATCAAAGTAAAAACATCTGTTCGTTGCCCGTTTCGGCTGGTGTATCATGTTACGCGTAATACGTCTGATGCACCATCTTAAAATGCGCTGTGCAGTTTGCCAGGATTTCATATCGGAGTCCCATGCAAATTTTAATTTTATATTTCTAAGCGATCATCTGATTCTTAGCTAAAGGAAAAAAAAAAATTTTAAAGAAGCCACCACGGATTAAAAACGGGGAAGCATGTGAACCTTATTTTACCTAGACAAGTTCATGGACTGAGTGATTTTAAACCAGTTTTAGAAAATACACTCTCTTTTCCCATTTTTTAATACAATGAAAATAGTTTCTCTTTTCATGGCTCCTGAAGGCTTCGGGTTTGCCACCCCCCAACATTGGCAATGCAACAATGCATTGACAGTTCGAGAGAGCATTCAAAGACTATTTAGTGAAGTATCTACAACGAGTGACCTGGGTCACTGGGGGTTTGGTTTGGTTTGGTGTTTTAAGTCTTTCAAGCTGCTAAGTGGGGGCTTTTTAGTTTCTTTGCTTTTGGCTTTTTAAACATCAGTCAGTAGCTTGCTCTTATTAACGCAGTTTTGGTCAGCTGCGGTGCAATTACCAGTTCTGACATTGGCCTGTCTAAAGTGGGCTATGCTATTATTCATATCCTCTTCGATCTCCATGTACTCAGATTTGCTGATGGTGGAGGAGCTGCGCCGACTGAGGTCACTGTCAGAGGCTAAATTAGGGGCGCTGACGTGGAGCAACTGAGCCTGCTCTTCCCCCTCGGTTTCTCGGTGGTAGAAATAGTTGAAATTGGACACAATGACAGGTACGGGCAGGGCAATTGTCAGCACACCGGCGATGGCACACAAGGAGCCCACGATCTTGCCTCCAATTGTCACAGGGTACATGTCACCGTATCCCACGGTGGTCATGGACACCACCGCCCACCAGAAAGCGTCGGGGATACTGGAAAAGTGCGACTCAGCTTCTTCCGCCTCGGCAAAGTACACTGCGCTAGAAAACAGTATGACCCCGATGAAAAGGAAAAAGATAAGCAGCCCTAGCTCTCTCATACTGGCTTTGAGGGTCTGGCCCAGGATCTGGAGGCCCTTAGAGTGGCGGGAGAGTTTGAAGATTCTAAAAACCCTTACCAACCGGATGACCCTGAGGATGGCCAGCGACGTGGCCTGCTCGCCCTTCTGGTTCCCCTCCTGCTCAGCTATCTCGGTGCCCAGGGTGATGAAGTAGGGGATGATGGCCACGATGTCGATGAAGTTCATGATGTTTTTGAAGAAGTCCGTCTTGCTGGGGCAGGCGAAGAAGCGCACCACCAGCTCGAAGGAGAACCAGATGATGCACAGGGTTTCCACGATGAAGAAGGGGTCCGTGAAGATGTTGACGCTGTAGACCACCGTGGTGTTGTCGAGGCGGTGGACGGTGCCCGTGAAGTCCTTGTCATCCTTCAACTCGGGCAGCGTCTCCAGACAAAAGATGACGATGGAGATGAGGATGACCATGACGGAGACGATGGCGATGACCCGGGCGGGCCCCGAGCTCTCGGGGTATTCGAACAGCAGCCACACCTGGCGCTGGTACTCCTTGTCGGGCAGGGGGCGCTCCTCTTCCTTGATGAAGCCCTCGTCCTCCCGGAACTTCTCCATGGCCTCCTCGCCCAGCTCGTAAAACTTGATCTCTTCGGAGAACATGTCCAGCGGCACGTTGACCGGCCTCCGCAGCCGGCCCCCCGACTGGTAGTAGTAGAGGATGGCGTCGAAGCTGGGCCGGTTGCGGTCGAAGAAGTACTCGTTCCTCAGCGGGTCGAAGTAGCGCATGCGTTTCTTAGGGTTGCCCAGCAGCGTGTTGGGGAACTGCGCCAGCGTCTTGAGCTGCGTCTCGAAGCGCAGCCCGGAGATGTTGATGACCACGCGCTCGCAGCACTCGTGGTCGTCGTGCTCGGCCGGCCGCGGGTAGCTGCCGTCCTGGGGGTGGCCCGGGGCGGCCGAAGCCTCGTCCACGTTCTCTCCCGACATCACCGTCATGGTGGAGGCAGGGGGCGGCGGCGGCGGCGGCGGCGGCGGGAGACCCGGGGCGGGCCCAGGGCGGGGAGGGGCGAGGGAGGCGGGGTGGGGGGGGACCCGCGCGCCCCCCCCACCTGCGTGCGCGGCTCCCCCGAGCTCAGGGGGCGGGGCTTCCGAGCCAGCAGGTGGAGGGATCTGCCACTTGGAGACCGTCTCCACCCCCCCCCCGCCTGTTTCTCAGTTTGGAGTCCCCCTCGCCTGCCGCCCCGGGTGCAGCTTTTCTCCGGGGCGGGGTGGGGACTGGGGTGGGGGTGGGGGGACTGGGGGTGGCGATGGGAGGAGGCTTGGTGTTTCTTCCTGCTCCGAGGTGCCTTAACGCAGCGCCGTTCTAGCGGCCCGGGCCACCGCTTGGGGGCCGCCCTGGCCTCCCTTCCCCTCCGCGAGCCCTCCTAGGACCCGGGGCAGAGCCAGCTCGGCAGATGCCCTCGCCTGCCACCCCCTCTGCTTCTCCTCGGCTCTCCCCCCTGCTAGCCCTCTTCGCCTGCCGCCTTCTAAGCTCCCACCGGGGCAATCGATGGACGCTGCAGAGAAATAGAAAGTGATACGGGGGCAGAAGATCAGAAGCGTTCATATGGGACGGACCCACAGACACGGAAGAGCACAGACCTCTAGCTTTTTGAGAAAGCACGAGACTTTTGCTAGGGTTATATCACAGACACGCAGACAGACACACGCAGACACCCGAAATCCAAGTTTGGGGCTCCTCCATCCCACTTTCCCCAATGCCCAACAGCCGATCTGTTTACAACTTCGTTAAACTAGAGATCGGAAAAGCGCCCAGAGACGCTGGCGGAGCTCCAGGTCCAGGCAGCGTCCCCGCGCCCCCGGCTCCCCTCACCCGCCGCCCCAAGCCCCACTTCTGAAGCCCCGGACCGGGGAACCCCCTACCTGGCCAGCCGGCTTGGCGCAGGGGCGGTGCTGAGTCGGCGGAGAGCCCGAGCGGGAATGCGGCAGGTCGCCTTTGCGGTACCCGGGCGCAAGCCGCGGCCGCCACAGCATCCGAGGGGCGCCGGGGCCACCGCGCCGCCCTCGCACCTCGTCCTGCTTTCCTTCAGTTGGCCACTCGCCTAACTGGGCAGCGACGGCGGAAATGTCCGTTCCCGACCCCCATTCTCGCCCGTGGCCGGCAACCTGGAGACGCCGCTCTCGCTCTCGGGTGCGGGCAATTCCGGAGGCTGCGGGGCGGAAAAGCGAAATGCCACCCTCTCCCGAGCTCTGAAGCGAATGACGATGCGGAGCGCTCTCGCCCCCTCCCAACACCGTGGGAGCCCTTGATTCGATCCCGAAGGAGGAGAGCGAGCAAGGGCCTGGATCTCCGTGCCTCGCAGGTCCCCTCGGCTTCCCGCACCCCGCGCGGACCTCGGTGAGGCTACGCGGCGCGCCGGGAGCCGTTCGGAGCTCCGAGTGGGGCAGGGTGCGTGCGGCTCGGGTCCGCTCGGTCCATTTCTGGGCGCTGCAAGATCAGCAGAAACCTGAGAAAGCGCCCGGAATGCGGAGCAGCGATTGGCCCACCCGGGCGTGGGTTGGGGAGGGCGGGGGAGGGCGGGAGCGAGGAGGTAGATGGAAAATAGGAGGGGGTGGCTTGGCAGAGGGGGCCTGTCATTCAGTTCCCACCCTTGCCAACACGGCTTTTTCCTTCTCCTGCCAGAAAAGCCGACCGCCAGTTCTCCTTCCCTGTGGTCCACAGCCCCGCACACGCACGGTCCTCTGCCGCGACCTTTCCGGGAATTTCACATCGGAAATGGTCAGGTCCGACGCAATGCAGGCGGTGGTGTTCCTGGCACAACTACTCTGATGGGCTGCCGTTTGTGCAGTCCCACAATAATCCGCTTCTCTGTGCGCTGTCCGGCCGCTCCCGCAGGGGGCTCTGCAGGGCAGACCCAGCTTGTCCCCGCCGGCCTCGGAGAGATGCGGACTTCGGGTTGGGCTCTGCAGTTGAGGATCACCCGGGTCTGTCCTCCGTCGCGCTACTGCGAGGCAGTGGTGCTGAGAGTGTGTCCCTCTTTGACCTACGACGGGAGTTGAAGTTTCCTTGCGATCAGACTATTTTGAAATACCGAGAATGTGACTTGTGGGAAACCAAAGGCTTCGTGGGTTTATGCGCTTGTCTGCCAACTTGGTGCTAATTGGAACGAATCTGAGAAGCAAGTCGCCTGCCCACCTCCCACCCACGTCCCTCTTCCCGAAGCCTCTTTTTCCGGCCTAGGGCCTTCCCAAGGCCCCTTGCAAGGCTGGCAGCTTCTCGGGGACAGGGTCCGCACAGAGGCGCAGGGCAGCAGGAGCCGGGGGCGTGCGCGGTGCCCTCGGAGTGCGGCTCCGGCTGCGCCCCTAGAGGCGCTGCGCCTTGGCGCCTGCAGCGCGAGAGAAGGCAGCCAGCAGCTCCGGTACTTCAACTGCGGCCGAGTCTCCAAGGAGGCTGCAGGAGCCCGGAGTCGCCGCCCATTGGCTCCCCGGCTGCCTTGGGACCACCCCTTAGCACCACCGCGACCGCGAAGCCTCCCGCCGACACCACCCACCTCTTTAATCAAACCGAAAGATTGCATCCTCCCCACTCTGTTGTGGCTAGTGAGAAGCAGGGGCCTCGGCGCGCCCTGCACCCAGGCAGTGCAGCAATCCTGGGTACCGAACTAGTTAAGTCCCTCCTCCAGATACCGACTCCAGCATTCCTTTCAGAAAAAATAGGTATTTGTTCCCTCCACTCCTCCGGAGCCATAGCCCAGCTTTACTTTTACAAACAAAGAGTTCTCTTAAACTCCGCCTTCCCATATTAAGCGCTGCCCTTTCCCCACCTTCCAAACACATATTCCTGTATCCCACTGACTCCGCGGTTCCTTTCCTTTCCACCCTACTGCTTTATTGGAAAGAAAGAAAACAAAAACCCACGAAGCTCTGCATTGCAATGCTGTCAAGTCCCTTGTTTTCTTTGCTACTGCTGCCGGAGGCTGCTGCAGCCCTGAGAACACCCTACTACTAGATCTGATACACATTTTCAGACCCTGTCCTAGCGATACGGGGCTTCCTACGCTGCTCCTGTACCTCCCTCTGCCTGTAGCCCCCCTCCTCCTTTTAAAGGTTTCTGAGACTGTCATCTCCCCAGCCTCATGTGGATGCACTTGCCCTGATTCAGCATTGGGAGGTTGCCTTAGTAGAAGAGATTTACAGACTGGATGAGATCCCAGGTTCCTAAACCCAGGGGGTTATTAGGGGGCACAATAAGATCAACAGGTTTTCAACATCCCTGAAAGATGTTTTTAGAGCCGGACTGGACCTCCATGGAATTGGAAGAAATTTGCTGAGCTAGGAACTCATCATTCTTGATGCAAGCCCACCATTGGTAAGAGTCTGAAGGTGTTTATTTATTCAACAATCTGCTTAGCTCCAGCTAGGTGTCAGCCTAATTCTAGCACTGGAGACATAGTAATAACTAAGACATGAGGTCCCAGACCCCTTGGAGCTCACATTCTTGTGGGAGAGACAATTAACAAATAAACCATTGTATATATGTACCACATCTTCTTTATCCATTCCTCTGTCGATGGACACTTAGGTTATTTCCATGTCTTGGCTATTGTGAATAGTGCTGCTATGAACATAGGGTCATAGGGTGCATATATCTTTTCGAATGAAGTTTTATCTGGATATATGCCATGGAATACTACTCAGCCATAAAAGAGAAATGAAATAATGCCATTTGCAGCAACATGGATGGACCTAGAGATTACCATACTAAGTGAAGTAAGTCAGAAAGAGAAGGACAAATATCATATGATACCACTTGTAGGTGGAATCTAAAGTATTACACAAAAGAACTTATCTACAAAACAGAAACAGACTCACAGACATAGAGAACAGACTTGTGGTTGCCAAGGGGGAGGGGGGATGGAGGAGGGATGGATTGGGAGTTTGGGATGAGCAGATGCAAACTATTATATGCAGAATGGATAACCAACAGGGTCCTACTGTGTAGCACAGGGAACTATATTCAGTAGCCTGTAATAAACCATAATAGAAAAGAATATTAACCATATATATACATCATATATATTATATATGTGTGTATATGTAACTGAATCACTTTCCTGTACACCAGAAACTAACACAACATTGTAAAGCAAATACTTCAATAAAATAAATTAAAAAAAATAATAAACCATACATTATAATTTAGGTAAAAAAAATTTTTTAAGGGGATACAGACTGACAAATACAGGTTTGCATGGATAGGAAAGGTCTCTCTGCAAAGGTAGCATTTGAACAAAGAACTTCAAGAAGAGAGAGGTCAAGGAACAGGGAGACCAGAAGGACGAATATGAGAGCAAATGAAAAGGTTCTAAGGCGAGGACAAGCTCAGCATATTTGGGAAACAAAAGAGGCTAGAAAGAAGTGACCAAGGAAGAGTGTTGGAAAAACTAGGTCAGAAAAGTAGGCAGAGGCCAGCTCATGCAGGGCCTCTTAAGCTACTTTAAGAATATTTCATTTTATTCTGACTGCAGTGGGAAGATATTGGAGGACTTGGATCCGTGCAGTAACGTAATATGATTTGCCTTTTTTTTTTTCTTTTTCTGTTTTTCTTTTTTTGGCCACACCACGTGAATTGTGGGATCTTAGTTCCCTGACCAGGGATTGAACCTGGCCCTATGTAGTGAAAGGACAGAGTCCTAACCACTGGACCACCAGGGAGTCCCCTGATTTGTCATTTTTAAAGGTTATTCTGACTCCTAGAAACAAGCACGAGGTTGGAGTTTATCAAGTAGTACAAACAAAGATGGCTTAAACAAGGAAGATAGTGGTAGGAATAGGATTACATTTTGAAAACAGAGATGGCAGGATTTGGGATGTGGAGGAAAGAAACATTGGAAGAACATCTCCTAGGTCTGTAGCCTTAGTAACCAGGTGGATGGTGATGTCATTTCCTGGACATCACCTGTCCCACCAGAATGTGAGCTACTCGAAGTCTGAGACCTGGTGTGTCTTAG